GTCATGAAGATTTTCAAAAACAAAAGGTTCTAGCCTGAGGAAAAGCAGAATCAGATAAATCTAAACAAGTAAGATTCCATTACCAGGGAGCCTAGAAGAGGTATTGTTCCTTACACTTTTTGTTGCAGTTTTCTCTGTAATGTGTTTGGGTCCTTGCTTATGTTTTGAAATGAACTTTATGTTACAGGGAGTGCTGATAAAATGTTTGACTGTACTATGTTTGTCCCATTCATACTATTTTCCCTACATTGGTAATTCTTATTTGTTGTTTATGCAGTAAAGCTGTTTCCCTTAGTTTGTGTTTTCTGTAACCCACAGCATTGCATTACGATTGCTCGCTCGGTTCCCTTTCTCCTCCATCACCCACTGAAATCTCTATCAAATGTGTGAGCTTCCTCTTCTGAGCTTCACATGAAACCACCCTTTTCCTCTTTCTTCCTATATTTTGCCAGCATCAGTCCCCTTGCCCCTCACTCTTCACTCCCCAGAGCCCAATCAGATTTCATTGCTAACCCTATTTTACTAATGTTCCTCTTTGGTGTCTGAATTTACAAGTGGAAAACACATAGTCCAGGGTAAAATATCCCAATGGATGTGGTTTCTCTAAAAGACTTGTCTAATTACACAGATATGCAAGGATAACGTTGGAAATTTATTAGTATGTCTTAATTCACAGAAACATTGGCACTTGACCGCAAAACAATTCACATAAAGAGAATTAATGAGTGAGATGTGGTGTGAGATGTGGTGTTTTGGAGCTCTGTCTCTGAAAGGGAACAGGTTTCTGCAAAGCGTCTTTGGTTTTCAGGATGTTATTCTGGACATGTAGGACCATTTGACGGCACCATCCAGAGCGATCAGTCGTGGCTGATTTTGTCAGGGTTTTTCTTGGTCTCCTTGTGCAGTATTTCTCTTCAACTATTTTCATAACATTTTTCTAATATTCTGGAAACAGAGAAAGTAACAAATCCCGATGAGGGGACTTCTTGGTTCTACATCCTTTCTCTATGGTTCCCGAGTGGAGCTCTGAGGGTGAAGCTTCCCGGCTTCCCATCTGCACTACTCAGGGAAGCTGTGGCTACTATCCTGCCCTGCCCCCATTTCCCTCTTGGCCAAGCGGCCGTCTGTCAAAGTGGAATAATCCACGTGGCTACGTGTTAGGTCCCTCTGGGGTGGTACTTTCCCGCTTCTGAGGGGCTCAAGAAAATTTTGATTTTTGTCATTTATCCAGCTTTTGTGTCATGCTTTGACTGAGAGTGCCATCCTTTACTGGTTTCTACATATGAAGGAGAAGGGTTGTTTATGAGATGTTTGCAAATGCACGGGAAACACTTAACAAAAACGGCCATGTATTGAGCTTCAAGGCACCACGTAATAAATTCCTATGGGTTGCAATCCCAGAGGATGTTCTCCTGTCCACATACTCGGGAGGCTAGAAATGGATTTAAGGGAAAAGCAAGGGGAAAGTCACCAGCTGCTCTGAAATTCAGCGATATACTTACAGAAAAAAACGCTAACAATGTAAACACTTGAGAGCCAGAAGAAAGCACCATTAAAGGCAGCCTATGTTAACATTAATATGAATATTAATATGTAACTCTCTTGAGGAAATAAGCATTATCTTACTTCTCCTAATGGTTGACAATGCTCTGCATAACTTGATGCTAGGGGCAAGGAACATACACTAATTTTAGCTTTGTATTCATATCCTAAAGTGACCGTGATTACAAACACCGAAAACAAAACCATCAGGTAAAGAATCACACCCCTGTCCCTTGAACCACCAGGCTGAATACCACAAGAGGGCTGCTGTGGGTTCAGCCTGGGTCACTCCCCACATTGGGACAATGACTGTTGCTCATAGGCTGCAGGTCACTCTTTTGCTTCGCCGCGGTACCAGTAGACCGTGAGCTGTTTGCGTGGATCCTCCCAAATCCTGCGGATGCATACCTGGAAGTAAGGAAGGGTTCTGTTGAAAAAGAAATGAAAAGATTACTGTCAGGCCCAAAACAGAATGAATTGCATGAGTGATCTCCGACTCAAGGAAGTGGGAAAATGAATGGATCCTTGAAACTGTTGTTTAGCTCTATGTACACTGTAAATGGGCCTCATTTGCTTATTTACATGGATTCCTGATGGGAGAGATGTTGAAAAGCTTTAAGATGGTTACCTTGCTTCTTCTATCAGCGTATTCACTTTCTCTGTTTCCATAACGCACATAATGAAGTTCTGGAAAATTCCACCGTCCAGTCGCAGGAGAACGAGAGTGAAAAAGGCGAGTATCAGTACATCGGTAATACCACCGTAAAGATAACCTAGAAAGATAACTAATAAAAACGGCCATTTGGGAAACTGAGGAAATGAAACACGGTCACGGAAAAACCCACTGCTTTTCCTTGCAGCAAATTGCCCTGCAGATATATTGGAGCTGACAATGTTTAGTACTGAGGGAAAAGTGCTCGAAAACTCCCAGGACACCACACGACACATGCCTGCTAAGTCAGAACAGTGTCACCCACCCCAGCCTCCAGTGGGGTCCTCCCCTTAAAGGGCCACCGGTCTTTCGGGCCACTTGCGGTGGCTCTGAACAGAGCCTTTGGGTTTCCGTGGTGCTCAGGCGCTGCTGAGGCAGCTCACTTGCTCCTGGTGTACCTGAGGACGGCACTCGTGCCCTGGAACTCCGCGAACTTGCCCATCTTCCCTGGCAGCAGCAGGCGCACGGCGATCTGGATGTCCCGGGGGGTGATGGTCACGCGCTTGGCATAGCGAGCCAGTTGACCAGCCTCGGTGGCGATGCGGTCCAATATGTCATGAATCATAGAATCCATGACACTCAGGGCCTCCTGGGAAAGGCTGAGACCCTGGTGAACCTGTTTCAGCGCCGAGGGGAAATAGGTGACGAAGCTGTCCTGGAAGCTGTCCCTGCCGCGGTTGGCGTGGCGGCTGCGGGACCCTCGGCGCCCTCGCTTCTCCTGCTTCTGGGCCGTCGAGGAGCTGGCCTCTTTGGGTTCCTGGGTGCTCTGGTCGTCCTCGGAGGTTGGCTTAGAGGAAGGCTCAGCCATGGCGGAGGCAGCGGCCATTAGATGGCAAGAACAGACGGTGACGGTTGGGCACCCGGGAAGGTTGGGGGCAGGGCACTTTGGAGTGGCCGCGTGGTTCTACGTCACAGGCCAACTCGACATCTGGTTGGATGAAGTGTTACCCAGGGAGCCTGTCAGCAAACGTCACTGCCTTGAAGGTGATCGGATGACCCTGTTGCTTGGCATCATGTCAACCAATCACAGTGGGCGTCTGCCGGCCTAAGTGGCCCCTGTGGCCTACCTCAAAGTTACACAGATAGATGGCCCACAGGGCACATCAGCCCTCCTCAGCTGATCCACGCCACACCGTGAGCATTTCCAAAGGTGTCACTGAAAACTCCCAAAGGTTAGCAATTTCAGCTCATGCTCCTTGAAAAGAGCTTGACCTCCTGAGCCCAAGTCCATTATGCGGGAGGAATGACTGTGGCCACGTGTGGACCATTCTGAGATGGGTGCATCTCAGAATCTACTGCTATCCTAGGCTAAGCAAGCCTGGTTTGAGCAGGAACTCCCTGACATGGCTGCCAAGGGCTCCTGGGCATAAAAGGACCTGACGGTCTGGCCCCTGTCTTCAGTTGTGATCAACACCTTCAGTGAATGTGGATAAGGAACAATGGCCAAACCACAGTCTCCAAGCAGACAACACAAACGAAAATTGGGATGCTTGTAAAAGCATTTCCAACCCTTAAACGTGTACGAAATTTAAAACTGTTTTCTGAACAGTATTTTGATCCCCCAAATACTCTGAACGTTAGTGTTGGTGAATAAGCGATGTTGGGTGAAAAAAACACTGGCCCAATTCTCTAAGAAACCTTCTTACGGAGAAAAAGTCAATCTATGAAATCGGAAATATTTTGAGGTTAAGCAAATACGCTTCAAGAATATATGATAATACATTCAGAAACATTTCTTTCTTCTTTTTTTGAAGTGATTTTACCTTTATTTCCTTCACTTTAAGCCAATCATGAAATTTCACAGTGATTTCTGGGGTGGGGGCAGAAGGGAGGCGGTGCCAAGAATCACTGGGGCTGTGGCCCAGCCGGCCCGTGGAGGTGCTGGTAGGGGTGGGCCCTCACCGGGGCAGCTGGAGGAGCACGGACTGCCCCGCCGGTAGGTAGGTGATGTTCCGAGAGCGTGACAACTGGTACGCGATGTCCTCCGCGGCTTCCGGCTTGCGCAGCTCGATCAGGCTGTCCCCTGCGGTGGCCAGTGAGTTGGCAATCAGCTCGGCTGCCTTGGAGTCGCCCTCAGCAGAGATGATAGCCGCCATGGGGGAATTCATGTGGAGGTCAGAGTGGAAGCAGGTGTGAGAGGGTCCAGCAGAAGAAAACATGGCTGCCAAAGTGTTTGAGTCCATTGGCAAGTTTGGCCTGGCCTTAGCTGTTGCAGGAGGCGTGGTGAACTCGGCCTTATATAATGTGGATGCTGGGCACAGAGCTGTCATCTTTGTCCAATTCTGTGGAGTACAGGACATTGTGGTAGGGGAAGGGACTCACTTTCTCATCCCATGGGTACAGAAACCAATTATCTTTGACTGCCGTTCTCGGCCACGTAATGTGCCAGTCATCGCTGGTAGCAAAGATTTACAGAATGTCAACATCACACTGCGCATCCTCTTCCGGCCCGTTGCTAGCCAGCTGCCTCGCGTCTTCACCAGCATCGGAGAGGACTATGATGAGCGCGTGCTGCCGTCCATCACGACCGAGATCCTCAAGTCAGTGGTGGCTCGCTTTGATGCTGGAGAACCAATCACCCAGGGAGAACTGGTCTCAAGGCAGGTGAGCGACGACCTTACGGAGCGAGGAGCCACCTTTGGGCTCATCCTGGACGATGTGTCCTTGACACATCTGACCTTCGGGAAGGAGTTCACAGAAGCGGTGGAAGCCAAACAGGTGGCTCAGCAGGAAGCAGAGGGGGCCAGATTTGTGGTGGAAAAGGCTGAGCAGAAACATTTCTTAAATATATGAATGTAAAACATAAATCCCAGAAACTGAACCAAACAAGGATTTAACGATTAAGAAGAATTCAAGACATGGAGATCACCAGGAAGGTACCTTCCAAAATTCCAATGCTGCTTCCTCTCATACTTTTAAGATCAGGTCACTTATTCCTAATAAGATTGTTCCCGGTTTACAAAGAAAAAAAAATTTTTTTTTTTTTTTTTTTTTTTTTTTTTTTACAGAATCTTGCTCTGTCACCCAGGCTGGAGCGCAGTGGCACGATCTCAGCTCACTTGCAACCTCTGTCTCCCGGGTTCAAGTGATGTTCCCACCTCAGCCTCCCGAGTACCTGGAACTAGAGGCATGTGCCACCACGTCCGGCTAACTTTTTAATTTATTTTTTTTTGGAAAGACCGGGTTTCATTTTGTTTCTCCAGGATGGTTCCAAACTCTAGACTCACACGATCCTCCTGACTAGGCCTCCCAAGGTGCTGGGATTACAGGCATATGAGCTACCGTGCCCAGCAGACAAAATTTATTTCAAGAAAGCACAACATGATGTTGATTCCCATTTCAGGATGCATACTGAAAAAAAAAAATCTGAGCAGCTCATTTATAAATGTGGTTACAAAAATTGTACCTTAAATATTGTTAATTAAATCACATTACACACACACACAAATAAGGGAAACAGTTTACTGCTATAAATAACAATTTAGAAACATCAAACAGAGACAGACATTACTAATGGAACAAGCAGACCTCATACAATCTTTTTTCATCATTGCGTCTATTATAGAATTCATTTAAATACATAACAGAAACCCACAGTGCAGAAATTGCTAAATCAGGAGTTCACTGAACGCACCTTTTTCAAGCTTCCTAGAAACTGAAGTAAGTACTCTAACGCGTTCACATTTGTCTAATTCTAATATTTCCCATTCTACAATCTTTTTTAATGCAGAGCTTAATGTCCTGTGAGTATGCATCACTTAGGATGAAAGCATCCAATGAGAGCACCCAAACCCCACTCTCCACTGGCTCAAGGAATGTATCTTCAGCCCTGGGCCTCAGCCTTTGGCTCAGGATGGGAGCAGGTGACCTGACCTGATCCATTAAGTGCCCTCCTAGCTGTTCAGGCTTGTAAATTGAGGAGAAAATTAGTTTGTGCTTTTTGTCCACTTTATATTTCTTCGTTTGATTTTTTGCCTTATTGTAACTGTGGTGATTTCAGGATATGAATCCAAAGCTGTGAGTAAGCATGTGTCCTACCTCTTGCATCATCCTGCAAAGAAAAGTTCTCTGAAAAGGCATCTGGAGGTAAGAGACTATTGCCGTGAAGAGTTTGAAAAACCAGGGAGGTAGAGACTTCAGTGTGAAACAAAGGTGCAGTTCCAGAGAACAAAAAGAGGATATGGCTTTCATAGAGAAACTTCCCATCAAAGTTCCCAGTACAGCCCATTTATGCAAACACAGGATTCAGACTTAGGTCTGATTGGTTGACTCAGTTGGGCTCTGATTGGTCAGTACAACTGAGCCCTGATTGGCAGGGGCAGGTGAGCTCTGGTTGGTTGTTTGGTTCAGGTGAGCTCTGAAAGTTCCAAAGTTAGATAGCGGTGTGGGTTTTGGGGAATTCATAGTACATCTGTGAGCTCCAGTCAGCACATGACAGCTTGGCTCTATTTTAAGTTTAGTCTCGGCCACTGCGATCCTTCTTGAAAGACTGGCTCTTTTAGATTCACATTTGTTCACAAGTTAAAGAAAATGATAGTGACCAATTAAGAAAACTGGGATGATGCTCTC